AGTGAAAAAAAGTGAAAAAACGTTTAGGGGGAAGTGAAAAAAAGTGAAAAAAAGTGAAAAAAAGTGAAAAAAAGTGAAAAAAAGTGAAAAAAAGTGAAAAAAAAAGTGAAAAAAAGTGAAAAAAAGTGAAAAAAAGTGAAAAAAGGGGTTTTAAATCTGTAATGAAGTTGAAGCTGGGATCTGCAGATACAAAATACATGGGATGTATTGTAGCTGACTCTGCAATACATTTATTTGTATTGTACTCAGAGTGCAATACATAAATAAAAAATACATCCGTATTGCAGCTGCCTTCAGCTGCAATACAAATACATGTATTGCCTATACGTTTTGGTGCAATACACACCCACTAGAAATACATGTATTGGACTCATTGCACCGCTAACTTATCAAAGTCCCACCCAGTTGCGGTTGGGCGTGCAGTGGTGAAGCACTGAACCCCGCCCGACCGCAGGGAGGGACTTATGCCTAAAGTGGGGGTACTCAACCAAGGCCACCCACCAAAAAATTGAAAAATCTATTAATCAATTTTTACAGACTGTAGTTTCAACACAGCCGGGCCCAGCTAGAAGGTAGGATCTACCTGACTCTGCTGATTTTTAGAGCTCACAAGCTTCAATGTCCACCAAACCATTGAATTTCAAATAAATTGTGAATTGAACTCAGATTCCTCTATCTTGCCTGCGGCTCAAGTCTTCCATGTTCTTGTTTTACAGTTTTGAGTTCGATTTTCTTGTAGGCAACACTTTCTGCAAAACTGAGTAGAGAGAAAGCAACAAGAGATGCAACTGCATCTTTCCTTTGCTGGAACGACATGTGTAGCTTATCAAATGAGGGAGCTACAGGTTGTGTAATACAGTCAATTGCTCAGATCCCCTCTGGTGAGTAGGGGCACTTTAGTCGTAAGTCCCTCCCTGCGGGAGGGGTGGCTTCGCCACCAGCCAGTGCTTCACACCAGCGAGCCTCCCACCAGGGGGACTTTGTTAAGTTAGATTGCACCGTTGCTGCAAGCAACTAAGCCTCTGAGCTCACTGCTTGCCACATATCCATTCACACTTGGGCCTTCTGGCAGAGTGGAGGTTGGAGGGCAGGGCAAACTTGGAAGGCTGAACAAACAACATCCATACATAGCAATGTTCAGAAGTGTTCAGAAGTGAACCTGGGCCAACATAGCTGGTCATCACTGTCCCTTTTCCCATTTTCTTTGCCATCCCACCATCAGCTCCCACATCCCCAAAGCCAACTCCCAAATTTGCCATGCAGATTTTCTGGGCAACTCCCAAAAAATCTGGAGTAAAGAATACTTGCTTGGGATTGGTTTTGTGACTAGCAGTCCTCTTGTGGTCTGCTTGACATCCCAGAACTCTTAGGAGTCATTTTTCTAACCCCAAAGAAAAAAAAAAACTTTTTACATGAGAAACCCATAAATCAGGTGTGCATGCAGAAAAAGGGGGCACCCATGTTTTAGAACCCCCTAGAAAATGTGAAACATCATATGAGACAGCCAGAAAGAGTGACCCTGCTCAAAAATAGTCCTGCAATCAAATATCTTTTTTTGAATTGATTTCATATGTTAATTAAAATGATTTTTTTGACATGGTGGTAGTGGTGATGATCTTTTTATTGGCCTGGAAAAATATTGAATTGAGAAGCCAGTTTACTGATTACTTTGCGGGAGAGTTTGTAGCTGATTCTGATCCAAAAAGGCAGATTAGTTAAGACTCCCTCAACAAGATTTGAACAAATTTCTTTGTTTTTTTTCTATGAATTATTTTAAATGAGTAGAACAGCACTAAGAGAGCAACAAGGCATCTTCCTCTTCTTGAGAGATCCTGCGAAAGATAGCCAAGAACTTATCGCCCTTATTCCGGGCGACCTTTTTACCTTCTTCGGTGAGATTGTAGATTGCTTTGATCAACTGATCTTCGAGCGGGTCGGCCTGGATCAGCTCGTCGACCGCGATCGGCTTGAACAGCGGATGCTCGCTCAGATGCTTCACCATCCATACATTCAAGTCTTTCACATCCGTGATCGTGTAGATTATTCCATTCGGTCGTAGGATGTATCCGTATTCTGATAGTAATGTTGGCCTGTGACATTAAAAAAAAAACAACTTCAATTTGCTTGTTCAATGCATTCATGGGTCTTCTGCGTTAGAAAATTCTTTGGAAGAAGAGGCGGATGGGAAGAGGTTTGAAGTGACTGACGAGATGATTCTTGCTTTGTGTTTCCTTGCCTTGAAATGTGGGTCAGGAAATAAGAAAAACATCTTCGAGAGCTGGATGATGGCACGAAGAGAGAACGAGACCGAGAAAAAAAAGAGAGAAGCAAAAAACAAGATCAACGATTTCATCCAAAGCCAGAGATAAGTGGAAAGGATGGCAGACCTGATGTTTCCGGAAAAAGTTGGGAGAGAATTTCATAGCATTAGCGCGGATGACGCTAACGTTTTCGAATCGTCCAGGTTTGGGCACCCAGATGGGCGCTTCATCATCGAGCTCCTCGTCGGGTGTGACTTCGTTTGACGCTTGATTGGTCACTGGATCAGCATCCTGCTCTATTTGCTTGTCATTCTGGGGGACCGATTTGGGTAAACTGGGCAATTCAAACACCGACTCGGTGCCTTCTCCGGTCGATGAACTTTGCTGTTGGATGATCTTTTGTTGGGCCCTCAGTGCTAGGATCTTGTCTTCCACGTATTGACAGACGTGTGGTCGGATCTCTAGGCCTATGAAAATAAAAACAAGTCCATCAGTTAACCAACTTTTTTACGAGGAGGAAAGAAAGATGTCCAAAACTAATGGAAGTGCGAGTTTGCAATCTTGATGATTGGATATCTCACCATGGGTTTTTATAAATATTTACCTAGCATCAATTTTTCGGGAAATAGGGGGGCCATAGCAACCAACAACCCGCCAAAACCGCACCCGACGTCCGCGAATTCGACGACTTTTTTCGACGAATCTGCAAGAGCTGTACACACTCCATTCTTTTCTTCTTCTCCTCCTTCCTCTTTATGGTCGATGGTAGTTTGTGAGTTTGGGGCTTGGAAAAAATGAGGGTAATGTTTTGACCAATCCATCTCTTCGGATCGGGCAGGACTAAGAGTAAAAAGCATCATCAGAAGGTCTGAAGAGTGTCCGGTCGGAAGTTGAAAAGCCGAAGTAGTGTGCTCAACTAGTCAAGATTGTGATCTGAAAACGGATTAGCATGAGCTCGTTGTCGATAGAACCTTTTCTACATCAAAACAAGAACCAACAGATATCAGTATGCATGAAGAGAAGAACCCACAGGCTACACGAAGACGCAGCTTACTTACTCTGGGCATAATATGGGGTAGCTTTTCCTTAGCTTGGTCAGCGGCAGATTGGGTCATGGTCGATTTTTTGTTGGGCTGGTTTGAGCTATCGACGGCGGAGAAATTCCTCTTCTTCTTGTTGGCGCCCATCCTCAATCGACGAGCGAACGGAAGAATACTGCAGCAATACACTTGCGGATGGGTGATGATGGCGGTCGAGGTTGTGGTTGAAACCTGGGACTCGGTTTCTGCTTGGCTGGGTCTCGGCTCGCGCGGCAAGACAAAAATTTTCAGACCGGGTCGGCACCGGTCCACCGGTCCACCATGAGTCCGCGTCTCGAAGACCCAAGGACCAATATGGCACACTGCACCATCCTAATAACCAACCTGCCTACAACAAACAGATTTATTTTGATCAGCCCAAGTGTAACACACATTGCCCATGGACACATAGAGAGCCAAAACAAGCTAATGGCAAATGAGAAAACAATTTTGAGTGGAGCAATTGAAATTCGGAGTTTGCAGTATGTACTACATGAAAAATGGGGCACAATTCTGCTCGATCAGCATCTGATCAGAGAATTATTTATGTACCTCCATCTCTTGAAAGTGTTCGGGCTGGCATCAAGTCCACAATGCACATACATTGATATTTTCTCTTCTTCTTTCTGTATGTCCTTTTTCACTATCATCATCCTGAAGCTAGTACCTCAGAGCAAGTAAGATGAGTTTTTTTTGTGCAAATATGGACGTTGCCTTTTCGCAACAATAATCCAAAAAAAGAGCTATGGAGCATTTTGACAACAAACAGTTTCACCGGGTGCTTCTAGGCTCTAGCTGTAAAATCCCATGACAACCTCCATCTCAATTTATGAGCACATACCTGTCTGGAGCAAATGAAAAATTCAAGCGGATTGGTTTTTCAGACAAAACCCCTTACTATATATAGTCCCATTTCACTTCAACATCATACGCATGCTATTCAGAATCCACCAAACAAGGAATACCAGTAAGGATTGATTTCCTAGTCCCACTGGCTGAGAACCCAAATCGAGATAGCACGATGTTTTTATGTGGGAATCATAGGATAACTGTCTATTAGCTTCATTCCTCCATCAGAGAAATGTCTGTAAACACAAAAAATGACTTCAAGAATCAACTTCAGGCACACCTTTGTTCTCCCTGGTGTAGAGCTCACCAAAATCCAAGCATGTTTTCAATTCTCAGGAGCTCACAGTGGTAACTGTTTTAGATATAAACGTGATTGTAAGATATGAGTTGAACTTGAGCACCCTAGGGCCTACATAACCTCGTAAAATCGATAGTTCTAAAGACAGAAACACGCGTGTGCAAGCCGACTCACGCGTGATGAAACGTGACTTTGACTGATATACGCGACATTTAAAATTCTTCACACATGACACGCTCATCCGTTATTGAAAACTCCATCTCGAACGGCGTTCCGCCGCGTTCCGGCACCTTGAACCGGCAAAGTCTTGGGCCTGGCCCTGGTGACCTGTCCTCCTCAACTTGTATGCTCCTGAATTTGTTTGTATCGTTTGCCATGAATTTTAATAAGCCAGAGAAGATAAGTTAAGATAAACTCTTGTGACAGTTGAAAGCAATGTACATTACCCCTCAAGTATTATTAATCTCACCCATCGACCATGATCAGAAGCGGCCAATTCTTCGGCACACAGCCTGCAAATTTTCACAGAAAATTGGCACAAACTCTTGAACATACCACACTCAAATTATCTTATGGAAACAAGCCTGCATGTAGCCTTGCCATAACAAATCGCACGTCTGGACTCGGCCCGATGGAAAAGGGATCGAAGGGATTGGAGAGAAAAAAAAAGGAATGAAAAATTGCACGCGTGATCTATCATTTTACGGCCCCCCTTCCCCATGCCGTATCTCTCGATCTTGAAATAGATATGCACACTTTGAGTTTCAATTGAATAAACCATCCAGCTGGAAGATACGATGTGGAAATTATAGAGATGATATGTGATGAATTGGTTCACAGAAATCCTTTACTTCGATCTGATCGATGACAGTCGGCAATCGAGACTCCGATGATCGTTACAATATTTGCATATTTAGGCCCTAATGGCTAGTATAGATAAATATGTCCCAGCCAAAAGAAAAAAGGTGTCCCGTTCGCTTTGATGTCACTTGGAAGTCTAACCTAGTCTAACTCCGGCCCCAGAGGGCCGAGGCCGAACTCCTATTCCTCGGCTGTGTGGCTCCATGCAACCCGGATTGTTTCTGATTAATAAATACTTTCAAAGAGCTTAACACTTTTTGCCCACTGATGAGATTTGTACGATATCTGTGGTTGACAGGGGTCGTCACCACAGCCCGGAGCGGGCTGGTACATAGAGCCGTGTTGATAGTAAAAGATCGCTATGAATAAATGGACATCATATCTTTCTTACCTGAGAAGGATCATGGTCTATCATTGCAAAGATATATCTGAGCATCGGTGGGTGACTGAAATTCAGTATTAGGGTGTTATCCAATGTGTGTCCTGAAGAGACCATTCGAACTGCAAGCTGCTCACTGCAACAAACTGGTTTTTGTTGATAGACAAAAACCTGTTTGTTGAAGTGCAAGTCAGCACTTTCTGCCCCTGGGTGCCCTCGCTGGTTTTCGAGCACGATGCTCTCTGGTCGGTAATAAAGCGCAATCGGCAGGCCAACCAACATCAGGCCTGTGACTTGGCAGTGATGTACCTAGTATATAAGAGAAGACATCGAAGCATTAATCATCAATTCAATGGTGATGATTTTATTCACTGTACGATCATTTGGTTTCTGGTGCTTGTGCCCGTCGAGCGTCATCGTTGCGGAGCTGGAGAGGGTTGAGAGACGAAATCAATTGAATTCGAGCATGTGTGGTGGTCCACTTAAATCGATGAATTGTCAAGAAGCTCAAGGCGAGAAAAGTTTATAGAGCCCACAGCTACAATCTTAGCTCAAGTTTCCGCTCGCGAACCGTTTATGATTTCTCGGTCGTGACTCGTAGGGTGGTCCCCTGGGATTATCTACGGGAGGTATACATACCAGCTTCAGGGCAAGTTCTTGCTCTGCCTACCCCCTCATAATCCAACCAAATGGACCGCATATTTACTCATGGATCAAGTCCTCAAGGGGTTAAGACCCGACCCGGCCATGTTCCTGATGCACAGAATCGTAAAGTCACAGTCAAATGCGAAAGTATTGATGTATTTATCTGGTTAAGCTTCAAGGATTCCGATAAACTTCATGTGACTATCATCCAAGTCTGGGCCGCCTGTCCTCAAAAAAAAAAAAAGGATCCGGGATTCTGAGACATCATCATGAGGACAGGAAAGCTTGGGTTTCGATCTCAGATATCCAATCTCGTCATCTTTCCTTGTTATTGTTAATACACTTTTCCAGTCAAGTTCTTGAACATCAAGCCTTTCTCAACCCTTGCAGGTATCCTCTTGTGTGCCATCTGATTTCTTTGGTTTTAACAGTTCCGCTCACGTATTAGAGCAAGTTCAACATGAAAATTATCGTATCCTACATATTGCTGCCCAGAGAGCATCATTCTCCTCTCATGCAACCACCAATCACATTTTTCTCGGTCTGATATAACCTTGTATATATAAGCTGGGGAATCCATACACCAGATCATACCCACATCAAAGTTGTGTCTGGGTCTCCATCTTCTTTTGTGCCGCGCTCCCGTTTCCTATTTGAATCACACCAAGGACTGGCTTGACACTCATCGATCCCCCGCACACTCAGTCGCATAAGTTAACTAGCATTTCCCAAGCATTATCCTCAATCTTTCTAGGCTTTTTTTTGTTTTGTTTTCTAGCCCTTTAATTTTAATTATTATCAAGCATTCCCATATAATATAAGTTTTCAACTTGGCCTAAACATGTTTGATCAATGGAAGCCCGACCTCGATTTTGTTGAGGGTTGTTCTCTTACCAATCAACCTCCATATTGTCCACAAGGCGATCAATCCAGCAGCGGGGAGGGATTTTCGATGGAAAGCCTCCTGGACTATGATCCGATGATGCTATCATCATTACTCCTACTGCCGATGCCCTTGTTAAAACCACATGGTGCAGATCCGATTCCAAGCAGCGGCGCCAGTCCAAATCGCATCGGCGAGTCCGCGTTCACATCTGATGTCGTCTTCACTCAACCAATCCAGCAATCCATTCAACCCCTTGACTCTCGAGAATGTCTTCCCTGTTCTCCAGCATCCTCGCCAAATGGTTCCTGTTCCGATCTCTCTAGAGCCCCTGGGCCCCAGTTCCTTTATTCTTCGCCATCCAACGCCGATTACTCAGAGGCTATCTCTGATGTGGGCTGTAGCACGCCTGTTCAAGCCAAGCAACCTGAGCTCTTCCCCTCCAATCATTGTTCAGAGGCATTGAACGAGTGTTTCTTGAACCGTCCACAAGGTAAGAGATGGCACTTAGGAAAATGTGTTTATTTGGATATGTTTCTGATTGATGTGTCTTGGTTTTTATTTTTTGTAATAAGATGCATTGATGTGGGATCAGGTTCCGACGAATTCAATGGTCCCAAACTTCGGAGGTTTATCCCAGTCTGCAAGGGTATTGCCATATCCAACCGAAACCTTGGCCACTGCCAGTACTGTGGGAGTTTCTGCCTCTCCAGTCTCCTTGATCTCCGAGATTTTTCCATTCGAAGCTGCAAACGACTTCACTCCTACCAAGAACAAACGGACCTATGATCAGTTTTCGTCGCAATCATATTGGACGAACGATTTCGGTAACTTTCCGCAACAAGACGCGGCGAATTTTCACATCATACCTCATGAACCGTCGAGTGTTTATTCGAGATGTGATGTTTCGATCAAACGACACGATGCTTCTGGAGATGTGCCGATAGTCAAGCTGAAACGGTTCCCATGTCCAGAATGTGGCCAACGATTCGCCCGAGCGTTCAACCTCCAAACGCACATCGCCACTCATGCGGGCATGCGTCCATTCTCTTGTCCGGCTGATGGATGCTCGAAAGCGTTCAGTCGTCGTCACGACCTGGGAAGACATGTCGGCGCCGTCCATCGCGAATGGTTGGCTTCTAAAAACATCTCCGTCGAGCAGGCTGTTAAGCCCTTGCGTTGGAAGAACGGTTCATCTAAAAAATCATCAAAATCATAACGCTTGTCGTGATCAACCAAAAAAAAAAAAAAAAAAAAAAAAACTCAAGATCAGAAAAAAATCATTTACTTCTCTCTCGGTTCACCGGGAATGACTCCACCACTATCTTCATCACTTGGACGCTCTGCGAACATTGTCATCACTTTTACTTTTCTCAGCTCTTAATCAATTCATTTCTTCTTTCTTTCAACTTTTTTTTATAATCTTCCGACCCCAATGCACTGGGAAAGCATATTCTTTCAATCTTATATTTATACATCCTCCAAATTCACAGTAGCTAAGACTCTTCAGCGGTTTTGCTTAAACCATAAAACCTTCCAACCTTTTTTTACAAGTTAATTTGCTAGCAATAATCCCGAACAGGCTTTCGGGACTTGATAAGACCCCATTTCAGCCCCCTTTCTCTTATGCACTTGTTCTAGTAGTACTCGAATATGAAGTTTTACGGAAAATGTTAATTGCATGTGGTGATTGATTAGTGAATGTGTTTTTGTAAGACTTGCATGTCTTTGATCTAAGGGAGTATGTTAAGATTTTGTAAGATTAGCATTGTGTGGGACTAGAGTAGAACCAGTTGCTCCTAGTACCTCATGTCGGATTTTTCAGTAAAGCAATGATCTTGTGGACTACAAACCGCGTGCTAGTTCTTTCTTTTTCATTTAAACTTTTTTTCCGAACATCATGAGGTTTGTTAATTCTTGGTCAGGGCCCACGGCTATGAATCAAGTCTCACTTTGGCCCTGGGGAGAGTACAACTTACGAAATCCAGTTATGGATGTAACCGAGTCATTTTGAGGTGAAGATTCTATTTCGATTTCACATGCATGAAAATTATTCGCAGAATGATCTATTGCGGCTGTGGATTGAGATCGAAATTTCTGTCCACTCCTTTGATTTTTTTTTGTTCCTTTGGGTTATACTCTTTATGTACCAGTTGGAGTAAAATATCAACGCGTTTAGGTCTTCATGACGACCCATGTATCAGCTGCCATAACATCCTTTCAAATGTTTGGACTCAGGACTTCGCAATATATCTTTTGACACGGCCGATCAAGATTTCATGATTCAACACATAGGAGACTAGAATTTCACTTTTGTAGCACATAACTCGATGATATAAATAATGATAACTAAGATAGAATAGGGTAAGTTAATTAAGAAACAGATCCCTTTGGGTGAAGGATTTGTGTAGGTTAAGTTTTCTATCAAGTAAATTGTCCTAATTTCTTGAGACCAGATAACTCATTATCAAGTGAAAAGGGCGGATAATGTTTATGGCATCATTTTGCTTTCAAACACATCGCATTAAATTATGAAGTGATAGGCGAGCCTGGAGGAGAAGCGATCGCGGTATTTTCATTCATATCGCTAGATTCCAGAGCGTGATTGGCGGGAGGCTCAGAGCTCGAGGCCGTTCCAGGAGTGGGCTCTGTTGAAGGGTCATTGAGAGATGGCAAATTGGCATACGACGGATCTTCTTCCAAGAATGGATCGCCAATGTCTTCAGAGTGATCGCCAATTGTCAGTATCAATCGATCAAACGAATTTCAACGCAAACCAAGCCAAATGAGAGAAAAGGAGTCTCGTTTCAGCCATTGACATCTATACAAATTCGTCTCATCTTAAAAATTGGATGACAAAAAAAGATAGCTAATCAATTTGTGACAGACCATTATAATGAGAAGCGAGCTCCTTATCAACGATTTTCGTTGTAATCCTAGGGCTCATCTGATTTTCATCGAGAGGATTAGACATCCATTCATTAGATGCAAGATTAGCACGCCGGGAGCTTGAGGGACGGAAGGAGTCAGTCTTGTGACGACTGGAGTGACTGGGTGATTCGAGCCGATTCCCACCGACGTTGATCATCCTCGATTTCGTCCCCCGTCCTTTCGATCTCGATGAAGAGAGAAGTGAGGTGCCCGCTGATGAGTCCTCTTTTAGTCTATGGCCGCTGGGTTCATTCGATTGGGCCGTCTTGAACTGATTATCCGGTGCTAGTGGACTCGAAGGAATGTTACTCGGTTCGGCTTCCATGCTGATGAGCAGAGGCTGTCTGGTTCCAAGGCAAATCTTCTCGGCCGAGTTTCTTTAAAGCCCTTGACTGGCGGGCGCGGCTCACACAGTACATAGCATCCGTGATTCGATGGGCCGGGGTCTGCGGGGGTGCTACATAGCCCGATGAAGTTCCCCGTACCCCGGTCACACTGGGGGGTGACGAAAGGGACCTAATAGACCTGCACCCTTTTGGAGCATCTCCACCGCGGGCCCTATCACACACATAGGGCCCGCGCGGCCAAAAATGACACCCAGGTCACTGAGCCCCCATGTGGGGCCCTATAATAGGGCCCAAGGTCAAAAGACCCTATTAAGCTGTATCTATCTTGACTCAATGGGGCCCCACCTTCACCTGTGATCCTCCCCCTCCCAAAGGTTTCACAAACACCTCAAACCCCGGTCCTCCCCCACCAAACTACATCAAAAATACCAGACACGTACTACAATGGCTTCCCTGGATCCTCTCCTCACACAAACCTCATTGGCAAACATAAACATGGTGACTACAACTACCACCAACACTCCGGTGGCACTAGGAGGTATATTGTTCTTTCCTATGTTGGGAACAATTGCTTAGGATGCTGATCTTGATCAATGTCTACCCAGTTCCAAACACATCCGGCAATTGTACCAGCATCAATTCCCAGAACAATCAAAGCCAGATCACAGTCTCTTTGGAAGAAGCCAAGTAATCTGAATTGAAGCGTACAAAATTGAGCCACTACCAGGAGTGAGGATGTTAAGCTCTGCAAGGCCTCAATAGCTATAACCAAAGATTCACAAATTGGAACCAACCAGAGTGGGGAAAAACTTTGGGTTTAATTCCACAAGCTCTATAGTCAAGCCATCACCTAACCAAAGTTTCCTCAGCAGAGTGTGAAGAATAGATGAGGATTGATCCAGAAGGACATCAACAAGTTTTGAGGTTGTTTCGTCCAAGTGGAGAACATGAAACAAAGCAGAGCCCCCTTGGGAGACCACTTGAACATGAATTTGGAACTTTACTCTGAGGATCAAGGATGATGAAAACAGGTTTGCTTACACTAACTAGAACCAGAACAAAACATGAGTTATTTTTAGAGGAAGGCAGAACAGATAGGCTCAAGTAGATGGGATCAAAAAGAGAAAAGTATTAGACACCAAAATTACAGATGGCACCAAGTACTGGTTTGCAAGTACTTGTTGGCTTCCAACAAGTACTTGCCTACAGGTTCCAGGTGCGGGTGCGGGTGCCATGATTTTGGGTTGAAAAACAGGCAAGTACTTGTGCAAAGTACTTGCAATACACCAGCTCTTCTCAGACGTCCAGATGCATATCTACATATGTAAATTCCATACTTCAAAATCCAAGCTGGAAATCCAAATATCCCTGCCACCTAGAGATCCAGACCAGCCTAACCACCCACCATACTGACCTCTTCTTGATGCAGTTCTTCATCTTTCTTTCAAGGATGAGTATTTTAAACTTGCAAAGTGGAATCCTGAGTGGATTGAAAAGGCAATCAGACTCACCCGGAGGATATGGGAAGCTCACTACAAACCTCTTCCTCTGCCAGCCTCATCCCAGCCATCCAATCCTAGGTGTTCCCAGGTAGGTTTTTTTTTGTTTGGAGGCATTTGATTTTCTTTGGGTATTCAAGCTAACATGAAATCTTCCAGCCTGCACATGAGTCCTTGTGGGGTTGCTTGGAGCTTCTGGAGCCTGAGGATCAAGCAGTCCCACTGATCCACTCACAATGTGGCTTTCTGAATCCTTGGTGCTGACTGAAGATGGATGCAGCGGTGGGCGGCTACGCTACACTACGCTACAGGCCCATGTAGCGTTAGCGTAGCGGCGCCAATTTTTTTTTCGTGTAGTGTTAGCGCGCTGCTACGGCCGCTGCGCTACACTAATTTGTAGCGGCGCTAACACTAACCTTTTTTTGGTGTAGTGTTAGCGCGCCGCTGGCGCCGCTACGCTGTGTTAAGCTACGCTACAGCGTTTTTAGCGGCAAAAAACCGCTAAAAACGGCCGTAACGCAGCGTAGCGGGCAGTTTTTGGCGGCCTGTGCGTGTAGCGTTAGCGCAGATGGGGGGAATCGCGCTAACGCTACGCTAAACGTTAGCGCACGTTTTTGCCCCATGCGCGTAGTGTTAGCGCAAAAAAAGAAACAAGCGCTAACACTACGCTAAATTGTAGCGAAAAATCGCTACACTACGCTACGCTAACGCTACGGTTAGCGTAGCTGGCCCACCGTTGATGGATGGCCAGTAAACCCCCTGAAGTGATCTGTGATGGACACAACAATGCACTGGAAACACTCATGAAGGGCTGCTTCAGATGGCACTTGATGTGCTTGGTTTTCCAGGTGCACTTTTTTTATCTAAATTATCATGTTGGTTGATTTTTTGCTAGCTTTCCCACACATTCTACAGCAACTACTGTTGATGTGGAGCAATCCTTTATCTTTGGCAGGGACTAAGTTTCTCTCAAGAGGCACAGGCTCAGTGCATAGTATATCACTAGGGGGATGAGCATGGCATTTTACTCAAAAAATGGTAAGATCAAGAGGGGGATTTTGAAAAAGTGGAAGTCAAATAAGAAGAAAAAGAAGAAATCAGCAAGGAATAAATCTGTAAGAAAATGAAATACAAGGGGGGGGGGGCAAGGGTTAGGATTTAACATTTCTATTTACACTTATTAAAAAATGTCTGAAATGAAAACTACAATAAGATTTTTGACCTAGTTTGTCTCAAAATAAACTTGCACACCTGCAATTACTTGTGTCCTCCTGCCCCTGCAGGTGCGGGTGTCCAAGATTTGAGAATTTCTAGGCAAGTAATTGTACTTGTTGCAGGTGCACAGGTGTGAGGGGACATCTTTAGTCTTTCTCTTTTGCCTCAATTCCCATTGGTTACAGTTGGGATTCCCCTAGAATGCCTAGGTCTTCTCACTTCTCAATTTTTTCTAACCAACTTGCTGAAATAAAGTTTCCACACACCAACAAGCAGATGCATAGCAACCACTCATCTGGATTCAGGAGTGGTTTGGAATTGTCAAAACCCTTCTGGTTTACTTAACAGCTGGCTCAGAATGAAATTTTCCCCTTGGTGTTTGCAATGGTCTATTGTGCTTTTCAGGTACCATCTTGAAAGTACTATCATAACAATTGTTCAACATTCAACACACCCTTGAATAGGCTGTCTCCATCAATGGAAATTTGTGATTTCCACCCTCTGATCATGCACCCAGAAAATCTTGCCAACTGTTTACTGGGCTTGATTTATTGGAGCCAAAGCCTATGTAGCCAAGTACTTTCCTGAGAGTGGAATTCCTGGGGAATCTTTCACAATATACAGCTGAAAAGTTACTCAAATTAACCAAACATCTAGATTAAAATGTGTGAGAAGTATACCATTTCCTATCTGAAATGTTGCCTCCTTTTCAATCAGCTTGATGCTTTGGTGGTTGGTTTCTTTTTTTGACCTCCTGAGTGCCACCCATTCAAGCCAGGCCAAATCACCAATGCCATTGAGCAGAACATGATGCACTCAAACAAATAAAACTTGCCATGGAGAAACGATTGCATCAGTTGCATGTATAAAAATATCCTTCAACTGGTCCACTCAGTCCCTTCAATCCATTATCATAAACATTCTGTTTATTTCTTCATTTTCATACATCATGGCAACCAGTCAAGCCCCCCCCTGGTGAGAGCAGTTCTTCAGTTGGACTGGATCAATATTGCAATTACTAGCCTGTCCACTTGTGCTGGCTCACCACTGGTACCAGTGGGCAGCACCACCAGGTGTTTCCCGGGGGGTTAAACTTGCAGTGTTACCTACTGGTGTGGGAAGAAGGGGCCAGGGGAGGGTTACCTCTTTTCAAGCCTGACCTGCTAGTGAGACAAGGCAAACAGGTACAGTTGCACAAGCTGGCATCCTATTATACAGGATTTCCCAGCTGTTTGTAATTTCAGACTTCCAACAAAGAATTTTGGGATTTTTTTATCCTTATAAGGTTGAAATAGGTTGAAATGGTGTGAGACTTCTTTTTCATGGCTGGGCTGGGCATACTCTTTTTCATTGAGGGGATGTTATTTTCCCCATTCAAGATCCTAAGGTGGGCTCCGCAAAACATGATCATCAGATGGAAAATGGTGCTGCTACAGTACGCAATTGAAAAAGGTAGTTTTCCTAATTCTCTCAGGCCATAACTTTGAGTCTTGACTTTGTGCACTTGGAGGGTCCCTGTGGGACAGTGTCCCCCCTCCAATTGGAGAGACTCACAAGCTGCAGGAGCAGCAAGTCAAGCAGCAAGAGCCGCAATTCAAGGAGCAAGAGCAGCAATTCAAGGAGCAAGAGCAGCAATTCAAGGAGCAAGAGCAGCAATTCAAGGAGCAAGAGCAGCAATTCAAGCAGCAATTTGAGCAGTGAGAGCAGCAATTCAAGCAGCAGAGCAGCAATTCAAACAGTGAGAGCAGCAATTTTGTATTGATTTAGTGCACTGGAGCAGCAACTTGCTGAACAAGGTCAACCAGAAACTTGATATATTACTTGTTTATTATGGGGTTTCACAATAGAAATTTATCAAGTTTTTATAGCCAATTTTAAGGTCCTTATCAACCAGATTTTAGAGTTTTGACAAAATGAACAGACTTGGGGATTTCTGAACAATCAAATCAACAATTTTTTCCTTTTTCAAAAAGTAGTCAATAAACACCTTTAGATGGGCTTTTAATTTTTTGTAAATTTGTATTGCGACCCCCCCCCCCCCTATTTATTTGGATTCCTCTTTTCTTATCACTTCTTGTGATTTTTTTTCACTTTTATTTCCGCACCGTTTCCTTCTCCTTTTCCTTTGTTTTTTTATTTTCTTTTCTTTCCCCTTACCTTTACTTATTTCTCATCCATAGCCTTTTTCGCTCGTTTGTCTGACCCCAACAGCACCTGTATAATCTCTGAGCTAAAAGAATATCTTATCACTCAGCGCCATAATCTTATCTTGACCTTGCTACGAAATGGATGAATCGTGCTTCATCATCTTTGCCCCTCGCACCATGTCGGTTGTTCAGACGCGTTTGCAACTCGATCAATCACCCATGCAGTAGCCGCTGCACCAAAATGCTTCCCCATCACTGAACCTACGTGCCGGTCATGCCGAACACATGTCGCACGTTGTTGAAAGAGCCGTTGCATCGATTCGCCGCTCCTCCAAATATCCTTGTGTACTGAGCGCCCGGAGAATGGACATGGGCAACAATCGACGTTACACCGAACCGCTCAAGCCTCGATCCAATGCTTGTACCCTCCCTCCGCAAAATATCCGACAGTTAACCAGAGACTGTAGCCGCGGCGGCAGAAGTAGCATCAGAAATTTCGCCCAGACGCTGGTTGATCTGGAGCATTAGCTTGTTTAACCCTTGCGGAGCAAGGTGATGAGCCCAGCGAATTTGGCTGAAGAACTTGTGCATGATGACATGCAAGGGCATGTACATCGTGTGCTTCAAACGTCGAAAAATTCAATTTTAGCTACCTGTTTCGGATATATCGCTAATGTCCCTCTACGCCAGCCAATTTTAAGTGGCAGGAAGCACATAAAAGGCCGCTTCCATATCTGTTTGTGAGTAATGTCAGTTGATGTACATAGCTTCAGCACTCCAGACCAGAGATTCACGAGATGCATAGCGTTCTAAAGATAGCTTTTATACTATGTGGCTTGCCGGCAATCCGATACGCGATGGATAGTAAAATCGGAATTGCTTTGCCAGATTCGAAGCGGTTCATTGAGGAGACGAACACAAATGCAGTTGATTCCGGTAGCGGCGGTTGGAAAAGATCAGGGTCCCTATTAAAACGGCCTCGTGAAGACTCAATTTCAACTGCTTATACATGTCCACCATCTCGTAAAGGTGGGAGACGCATCCTGCTAGCCGATTCACCCACACAAATCTGATCAGCTTACCCCTTCGTTTGCAGCAGCACTACGTTCAAAACATGCTGTGATTGTAAACGATGAGAATAAGAATTTCAGGATAAATAGTGGTCAGTTTGGCGTAGCACTTCGAGCCATTACTATTTCTGACAAAATTTAATCATCTCTTATGATTCAGAACAAGTAGAAAAAGTTCAGCAGTGTTCCGAGGAAACTTTAGCTAATTTCAATAATTGGAAGGCTGCCTTCTTGAAATTGAAATCAACTCATGGCAAAAGTCTGAAATTTAAAAACAAGCTGAACGCTCTAGTGGGATCAGTCTCCAATATCTTTGAACATAGAATCACTGAGCTCAAAACTCGACCATCCCGAATATATTCAAACGGAAGGAAATCTTCCGCATATCATCTCTCTAAACCGATTCCCCGGGAATGGCTGAATTCTGTTGCAGAAATCGGCAAAATTTGGGAGCCACTTGACCCAAAGAATAATAAAGCAGAAGAATTTCTAATCAAGAGAGGAGTTAATCTGATGATTGATTTCTTCATTGACTTGCAGAGGCTTGAAATCATCCCAGAGGAGCAACTGTCTCATTTCTTAAACAAGGAGAATGAAGGAAAATTAATCTTGTCGTACGCCACTCATGGATTCCCGAGCTCTCAATTAACCTTGGCCAATGTTTACACCAATTTTAACATAAGACTGAGTCTTCAGGAAGGCACTGGTACAAAGAAATTGAGAAACCTTTTGCAGCGTTAGTCTAACTTTTTGTTTTTACCAATGATCCAAAGTATGTGACCACACAGCTAACAAAAAAAATCTTTGCACATTTTTTTGTGATAAATAAGTGTTGGACAAGAACACTTGGAAACTTATTGAGTTTGATTATTTGGCCACCTGCCTCAATGGGATTCAAGAAAACAAGATCAACCGATTGCACGTACTTCAGGAGGAATTCCTAAGAATTGCATCCCCACATAATCCAGAAATATCGACGGAAAAATTGAAGGACCTTCTGTATCAATTGGCAAAGCGCATAGTGGAAATCAGATGGTTGCGTCCAACCATACCGACAGAAAAGGAGCTGATTGGATACAAGCGGTTATATGAAATGTGGAGCTATATCGTTCATTTTCACGCACAAGACCGCTCTCCTGAATTGCTGTCCAGAATCTGGGGATTTGCTGATGGGATATCTGCGTTTGAGGAAGGGATAGGGCTTCTGTCCAGTGTTCACCACTTGTTGCATGTGAGAAGAAACCAGCTTGATGTCCTCCTAAACAAAGAACTTCATCAATCAGAGGTCTTGGTGGATGAAAATGAGAACAGAAGAATTGCAAGCTTGAAGAAATTTGATGTGGAATATCTCAACAAGTTATTTTACATACATAATTTGGAACTTTCTAGGAATCATTTTGGTAAACCTGGAAAACTGAACTTACTTCAACTATTGGACAACAATGATATGGTCAAAAATTCAATTGTTAAAACCAAAATCCAGCATCAAAGATATCTCACAAGGCTGCAAAAATTCAATCACAATCCTGCAAGCAAAAACAGCTTTGAAGGATTGTTGGGTTACTTTGAAGTTTTGTCTAGAAAGCTTTTGGAACATCAGAAGACTGAATTTAAAAAATTGTTCTCTGAATTAAAATAAAATGAACTACATTCATGATAGATAAAACAAAATGAAAGTTTCAGCTCTATTATGCACATCCATGATCCATCTCAAAACAAGCTTTCAATTGATGATTTCTATTTGATCTATGCAGCAACGTTAAAAAAATCATACAACAGTTCTTCTCATAAGTCATTATTTACCTTTAAGCTTTAGAAACAGAAGGTTTAACCATCAAGATAATTAGAGTTTCACTTCTGCTATCATTAATACTAATTCACAATGCCCTTCATGACCATATTTCTTGCCCAAATAAACTGTTAACTCTTTTTGAACTGGTTCTTCCATCACGCTTTACAACATTTCCTCACTCAGTTTAATCTTTAAAAAAAGAAATCAAAGATTTTATCACATGCCTATAGTATAGAATTCTATTTTTGAACTTTATGTTTTACAAAAAGTAACAGTTTTTGCTCTAATAAACTCAACTATTTCACCTTTTACTTGAAAGTGATCTTCCAGCAATTTCACTACACTGCTCACCCCGTCCAAACAATAGATATTGGAAGAAAAAAGCCAGTTGAAAACAAGTTCCATCTTGAGATTTTCAATGAAAACTGTATATCTGGAGTAACAAATCCATGGCATCCGTCAGTCATGAGTTAGGAGTTAAAGATCAATGCACTTGGGGAGCCAAGTCCCTCATATAAAACTTCCTTGGATGATTATGAGCAAGTGAGCAGCTTTTGAGTGGTCTAGTACACATGTGGCCTCAGATCAACAAGTGTTGTTGCTTTCTCAAAACCCAAGCCTTTAATCTGATCCAGACTGCAACCTGAGTTCTGAACTATCAAGAAAAATAAACACAGACAAAGTTGGACAGCTATATCATCATTTATTGCTTGCAGATACTACAGCAACCACTATCCATGTACACATCAAAACAGCCCCCCTCCCCTCCTTCCCTAAGATTGTTTTTCATGATTTCTAATGGGGGGCGAGAAACACCATGAAGTATCCGTGTCAATAAGATGTACAATTTAATCATGAGTATATGCTTGATGTCTTGGTTATAACAAACCTGGTTTCTTTTTGCGTTTTTGGTTGGATTAGAATTGAAAGGGACAGATGAATGCAGATCGTGTTGAATTGGAAGAATGATTGAGAGTCGTTTGAAGAAGCTGATCTACACAAGTCCAATACATAAAATAGAGAGAGAAGTAGAGGGGGGTCAAGGTGGGCACAATTTCTGGTTTGCGAAACACAGCAATAATGATTTCAGTTTCATGGTGAATTGTGGACAAGAGAAAAAAGACGGAAGAAGGGAAGGAAACGGACCATGATTTCGGAGATGGTGCCATGGTTGAGGTAAATGAGTTGAAGACGATGAGCGCGACAGGCATTGATATAGTTGAGGGGAGGAGAATCGCCTAGACGGGCGTGAAGGAAGACGATTTTCTTCAAGCGATTCAGACGGGCGAATGGATCGACGAGGAAGGGCCGTTTACGACGATAGACGGTGTGGGAGTAGAGAGCGATGAGTTGGATGGGCGCCCGGGAGAAGAGGTCTTGGGAGAGGAAGTCGGCGATACAATGGTCCCAGTAGTGGATTCTGAAGACTCTCAAGTTGGGGAAGTCGAAGTGAAGGATATGAGTGAGTGCGCTTTCGTGGCTGATGAAGAGGCCCTCGAGATTCTCTCTGAGCGTCTCGAAGATCGGCACCAGCCGGAATCCATCGTCCCGAAAGCTCTGGATCGAGAGCACCCTGAGGCTCGGCTTGAGCGCCTTCGAGAGACTGATGAGGCTTTCCAGGGGCTGTTCGTCTGTTAGTTTGATGTCAAGTTGCGTAATCGTCGGATGGGTGGCAAGTTGGGTGGGGAAGCTCTTGGGAATATACTGGATCGGAAGCTGGCTGAGATCTAGCGACTCAAGTCCCCGAGCGGCGCTGATCAACGAGTCCAGGATGCCCGTAGACTCGTCAAGGCCTGATCGGTCCGATAATAATGTATTCTCGCCCGTGCCCGGCAGAATCGGGCCTGCGGAGAGCCATTCGGATTTGAGGGCCAGTCTGAGGACCCGTAGATTCTCTATTTGTCCTATCAGCTCAATCGTCCTCCTCGGGAGCCAGAAGCAGGTAATGAATTCGAGATCCAGTTCGACGATCGTATCCGCGAAGAAGGACACCAGGGTTTCCAAGCTCTCGAAGGTGTTCATCATTCCCCGGGGCGGGTTTCTTGCAGGCTGTTCCGTCCGAGATACATACGAGGGTTCCGGGCCGTTGGTCGGCGTCCAAATATCGTAGACCATCATGTGCTGGCATCGTGGCCTTCGAGGGGGAACCGAGGAGGGACTAGATCCAGGCCGAGTGAGCTTGCGGATGAATGCAAGCGAGCCGGCGCCGTCGCTGAAGTTGAGTGTCCGAAAGAGATGATGGACGAAGAACCAATCCGCCCATTTCCGACAGACCAGTCGGAGCCGTGCCGCCGTTGAGCTCTCGACCTGACTCCGGGAGCCGAGTCCTTCGAGCAGCCGATCGTCTATCTTGACCAAATACTTGAACACCATCTCCACCACATCCTCCGGCAGATCCACTAGTCTTGCCATCCTAGCTCCTCGCCCATCCACTATCGATCAATCCTAGAACACCCACCCGCGTCCCTGCTTCGTCGTCGTGTTATTTGATTCCCAACGATTCGAGCGTCAAATCGGGAAGTTTCGGTTTGGTCGAGGGCAGTCTGCAGGTTTCGTCCGAGGGCAATCTGATCTTCAAACTTTCCCATGATGCGCCCAGGAGATACACTCATGTCTATGGCTCTGGCTAAAAGAACATCCATCATCCTGGCCACATATCAAATGAACACTCTGGCTAAATGAACATCCTCACACATCACAACATGTCCAGACCAGACCTAACCCCACCCAGGGCCATCCCATACTGTTTTGTCTCTTTTTTGATGTGAGGGGTGCATTCAAGCTCAAGTCAAGGAAGGGAAGCCTTGCTGTCTCACAGAGTCTTGTCACAGAGGTATTGACATGGATCCACAGTGTCTTTTTTTTTTTTTTTTTTTTTTTTTTTTTTTTTTTTTTTTTTTTAAGTGCTAATTGATATTGACATTGCGCACTTCAGTGAAAAGCTATACTACGAATACACGCGATGATGTTTTGATGCTTAAGTAAGAAAATACATGATATAGACCTAGTATTTTTTAAATTTTTGCCTTCTGGTGACTGCTTTGTTTTAACTAACCATGAGATTGATAAGATAAAAGAAGTAAAATAGAGAAAAAGAAATGAGAAGAATAAAGATAATAATTCTAAGTTTTGAAATTTTTAAGGAAAATTAAAAGTCCACCTCTTTAAGTCGTATCTGAACATTAAGGAAAGCCGATGACTTCGACTCTCTGCGCCTTGTTTCCCAGGCAAGACGCATTGTGGGGTCCCAACCCACAACCTCTAAATTTGATGTGTTCGAGAGAGAATCAAAGCCATCGTCCAACCCGCTTGTCCAGACCGATGAATCCCCGATAAATTTTTGATCGAAAACTAATAAAGAAAATAAGTCTTAAGGCTTTTTTTTTTTGATGAGTATTGTAGTATAGCTGATGAGAGATAACATAACAATTGAAAATTTAAAGATCAAAAAGGATAATAAAATAAGTGACATGATTTAGAGAAATAATAACGAAGATGATGAAACTTGAGAGTGTGAAGATATATGATAAGAGAAAAGCTTTGAAAATCGATATAAGAGAATCTGACAGAGAGAGTTGATAATAAGTTGATAAAAATGATTTCTTGATGATATATTTTATTTTTTTTTTTTATTCTTTTTCATTGTTGATATAATTTTGTATATTGTTGAATCTTTTTGTTTCTATAATGAAGTCGGCTAGTATTTCAAAATTATTTGGCGAGTCTAGAATAGATTTTGTTGAAAATATGTTGAGTTTGATATTTTTTTCTTTGATTTTTTTGCGATAATTTTTCCTTTGGTAGTGATATTTTTTACAGTATAATAGAAAGTGGTTTACGTCTTCTTTTTTGTTGCAAGTGATGCATAATGGTGAGTTTGCGCGCTTTATTGAAAATAGAAAGCTGTTGAGAGGGCAATGGCCTGATCGAAGTTGATATATTGCGGCGCTTCCTCCTCGTTCGATTTGGTTCAGTTTGTTGAAGATTTTTGTTGGCGGAGTTGTTAGTTTGATGTTGTTTCGTGTTATTGGTGTCTTGAGTTTGTTGAATTTGAATTTTTGCCGAATTTTTTGTTGAAAATTTGAGAGCGATCATGGTTGTTCTTCTAGTCGAAAATGTTGATTACCGGTTGTTGCTTCTTTGGCGAGGTTGTTGACTTTTTCATTTTCCGGAATTCCCACGTGTGCTGGGCACCAATAGAGTTGAATTGGCACGTTCGCATTGATGTTGATTTCCTTCAGTTGTTGAAAGATTTGATTGAATTTGGATTGGAATGAAATCGGTTTTGGGGGTCTTGAGATCGCTGTAAGTGTCGCTTGATTATCGCAGAAGATGTTGACTTGATTATTGAAGATCGTTTGTTGGTTTTCTGGAGTCCTGTTGTTGAGGTTGTTGATGAACATTTCAAGGCCAATGTTGATTGCTGTGACCTCGGCTTCGAATGATGAAGAGTCTTCGGCATTGTTGATTCGACACGCAAATGATGTTGAGTTGTTGAGTAGAGCTGCTGCCGCCGTCCCTTGTCCTGGGATGTTTGAGCCGTCTGTGAAGATGAGGTTTTCCGAATCGTTCTTCTTCTTGTTGATTTGGTTTGTGACTGTCTCTCGTGCTTCTTCCTTTTTGATCTTCATGTTGTTGACTTCGAGGTTGAAATTTTCCCATGGTGGGATCTGATGGTGGTGGATGATTTCAATTGAGTTGATGTTGAGCTGATGAAGAAGTTGTTGATCGATCATGTTGTGGATAGGGGAAGGGTGGGAGGATGGGCGAGTGAAGAGATCTGATTTTAGAAGGCGTTTGATTGGGTGTTGATCGGGGGCTGTGAATTTTTTTATAAAGTAGAGAAGATTTTTCCTTTTTAGCATGTCAAAAAATGGGATCAGTGGGCTTTCTCGATTTAGAAAATGACAAGGTGTGGAACGGAACAATCCTAGGATCATTCTGTTAGCTTGGTTTTCTATCTTATCAATTACATTTTTGACTTGTTTACTGTTTCTTTCAGTCGTCCATATCATACTTCCATAAAGGATTCTTGATCTAAGAACACTGATAACCAGGTTTCTAGACTGTTGCAAGCCTATGCCAAATGAGCATCTTGATATTCGAATCAACTGAGCTACTGTTTGATCTCCGCATTTACGGACTTTTTTAAGATGATCGGTGAATAACAATTTGGAGTCAAAAATTATTCCGAGGTATTTGGTGTTGGTCGCTGGGGTAAGGGAAAATTCTCCAAATCTTAACGGAGTAGAATTAATAGAACAATGAGTAAAGATCATAAATTTTGCCTTCTTCTTATCAAAGATAGCGTTATGGGTGGAGCCCCATTGTAACGATCTTTCTCCTTCATTTTCTAAGGTGCTAATAGCTGACTTGACGTCTCTATGAGCAACCAAATGAGTAACGTCGTCAATAAAGCCAAGAGAAATGGAATCCTGATTAAGGGTTAAAGGGTTGTTGATGAGAAGAGATGAATTATAGATAATGTATAAGATTGGAGAAAGAGGTGATCCTTGCGGAAGGCCGCATTTCAACTCAAAAGGGGATGATATGAAATCTTCCATCTTAATCGAGGTGGATCTGCTTGATAGTAAGCTATCTATAATGGCAGATAGGTATTGAGGAGCGTTCTTCTTTATCAGAATATCTGTCATTCTTTCTCTGATCACTGTAGGGTAAGCGGATTTAACATCTAAGAAGAGAGCCGCAACCACCTTTTTTTCTCTCCACTTGTGTTTGATCCAGGTGGTTAGAAATATATTAGCATCATCTGTGCTACGGTTAGCTCTGCCCCCGAAATGGCCTTCTGCTAGGATATTGTTGTTTTCTGCCCAAAACGTAATTCGCTTTGTTATGATATTTTCAAATAACTTGCTAAGACATGAAAGTAACGCAATTGGTCTATACGACCCAGGGGCCGCGTACGAATCTTTATCCGCTTTACGGATGATAGCTGTGGTGGCATGCCTCCAAGCCTTGGGGAAGTATCCGACATTTAAGCAAGCTGAGAATAAGTTAATGAAGTGATCAATCGAGTTATTTATACTCCATTTTATCATTTCGTTAGCTATATCATCATGACCACGGGCTTTTTTACTGGGAAGGTTGTTGACGATTGTCTTTAACTCTAGAGGAGATATGGATGGGAAAGATAGAGGCAGAGTGAAAGAGGGAGTAATGATGTCGTTAGTTGAAATGTTAATGGGAGCATCTGATGTTCCTTTAAAAAGAAGGTTAGCTTGCTCTTCTTTATTAGAAGTTAGGATACCATTATCATCAAGGAGTGGGGCAACATTTCCATGGTTAGTAGGTTTGGTATATTTATAAGCTTTAAAGATCTGGTGATCTTTGCATTCAGCCAAGAATCTTCTCCAGTGATTCTTTTTGAGTTCGAATACTTTATCCTTGAACACTCGTTGCCAGTGTTGATAGCAGTTGCAAGAGTTTGTCGATTTTGATAGCAGCATCCATTTACGAGCGCGATTCCTGTTATCAGCTATTGGTCCTAAGATTTTTTTATCCCACCATGGCTTCGCTTTTGTAGAGTTATTTTTTACTGTCTTTTTTTGTTTTTCTAAAGCATTTTGAAACGAGAGTGTTAGTACATTGACATATTCATCAATTTCAGAGGTGTTTGTTAGTGGATAATTTTCAATGTCATTAAGAGAAGTTTTTAAGTCTCTGTTGAATTTGTCGGTGTCAATCTCCTCCAAGTTGTATGTTTTTCTTTTGTTGATCTGAAATTGAGGGGTAAAGTTGAGGTCGAGGTGGATTGCTTGATGGTCGGAGCCGTGATTGTTGTGTGAGGTGTAGCATTTCTGGATTGTTTTCTGGGCTGAGGCGTTGCACCAAGTGAGATCGATGGTTGTTGCACTACTTCTTTTTGTCAAAAAGGTGGGGATACCCTTTTCGGAGATGATTTTGAATCCTTGTCTGCCGCAAATTCTAATTAGCTCTTTTGCTTTGGTATGACAATGAGAGTAGTTAGCAGGGTTCCACAGTTTATGATGTAAATTTGAGTCCATGAATATAAACGAGGGGATTCTTCTGTTGTTGAAATTGGCTAGCCAATTGTTTAATTCAGCGAGAGCTTCAAAATTTTTAGGAGGATTATAAACGTTAATTAGTCTTATTTTATCAACTCCGTTAGTTTTCACGTCTAATTCTATTGTAGACAGGATCCGTGATCCTCCATCAAGGGGATGGATTCTATCTGACGTATATTTTTTATTAATCATGAAACAGACACGATGTTTTTTGTGGTAGTTTTTGGGTGAATGATTGTTGTCTAGGAAAGTAGACCAGCTATTGTGAAAAGGTAATTGCATGGTGTGGGGGTTAATCCACGGTTCTTGGAGAATTAAAATATCGGCATCTTTTTCTGAGTTTAATAGGCTGTGGGTGACTTCAAATGCGTTATGACAATTCAATTGAATAATTTTGAAAAGAGAGTGTAATGGGGATTGGGAATACGTCATATTTGACTGATTGAGTGTAAGATAAGAGTTGTTTTTATTGTTATTTATGGGGGTTATGTTGTAACTAATCATTGATTAATGATGTTACGTCGGAAATTCTTTGTTTTTAAGGGGCATTTAAGACTTAAGGGTGAGTGAAGGAAACGGGGATTATTTTCTTCAATCTCAATTCCTGGGTTGGTTTCTTTTTCATGTTGAGTACACTTGATGCACGATTCAATCGGAACATCAGTGTTGCA